CAAAGCTGATTGGCCCACTATCGCTGATGCCTGTTCATGGAGCGGACCGAATAAATATCCTGCAGCCTTTTGTAAGACGGCCGTAACTGACTTGATTTGACTTGCACTCCAGCTCATTTTCTCTTCACGAGACACTGGCTTAGCGGTTAAAATGTTTGTATCATTTTTACATCAAACATAAAAGATACTGGTAGGCACCTATTTAAAATGATTAGAGGTAAAGATACATGAGCCGGCTAATCAATAGCCGGCTGCATATACAAGCCTGTTGAAACACTCCAAGGGCGCTGTAGCTTCTTGGAAATCACTGTTGAATCGGCGCCGTCCTCTCTCAAGGTGTCTGAAATTGACTGTGACCCAGTTCAGCCGATTCCCTCCTGAGATGCGACGCAGACTTCAGTTAATTGCACGATATTTTAGCCAACTGCTCGCTATCATTGTGCTTCGCAGAGCAAACTTAGGGCGGGAATGCTTATTGCTAACTATTAGAACCTGCAGCCCGCAAAGCATCTCAGTCATAATAGGTCACTACGAGCACGATCCAATCCATATAATAGCTAACCTTTACACTATTCATTCGAAAGTAAAATTGTTATGACCCGCGCCAGGCAATAATAATTAGCAAGAACCGTGAGCTTACCCGACCGTTGTTCCCAGAGCCAGTACACGAGAGGAAGAGAAGGCAGTCGATCACACGGAGAGCTTTTTTAACAACTAGCAAGTCATTCTCACAAGGAAGGCTGCGCATATTTATTGATCCGTGTTATAGGCCTGTTAGTTCTGACCCGACTAGTAGGCAAAAGAAGGCAAGAGAGCGGTTCTGATAGCAAGCCTTTATTCCAGACGGTACAGAGACAACGGAATGGAATTAGCGTGTCCACCGCAGCCTATTATATGGCTTTGGTCCTTCTAGACTAATCCTGACGAATCGCATGCGAGGAGGGATTCTGGCGTGTATGCTGATTCGCGGTTCCCCACGCTGCAAGACGTTTCTAAGACATCTCCAGTGCACATGTGCGTGGGCGTCACGTGTGCTCGGGAAGTGCGCGGCCGGCCTGCGGCCATGACTCAAATGGCGTGCACCCCTCGTCTCCATAGCGATCCGATTGATAAGAAAGTGTTGGAGACATTGCCCAATCAGCTCTAACGAGGGATCGACACCCACGGTGCACGTTCTCATGACAGCAGCTGCCACAGGCGCCTTTCCGTGTGATGACTATTCATGGGAATGGAGGCATTCCCAACAACATCTCTATTCCAAGCGCGTATCTAGATATCCACTGCGAAGCACCCGGATTTGGCTCTGAACTAAGGGCTGTCGACTTACGCGTCAACCCACACGGCTAAACCGCAGGAGTCGTACTTTTAAAAGCGTATGTTTAAACTACATCCGAACTGCGTCAGTGGCACAGTTGAGATGGTCTGACGAGATCTTGCTACCTTTCCATTTTCGTTGCATGTTTTGTCGTCTCTGTTCCTTTCCTACCGGATCTTGTATTCGGTTCCATTGTAACCGTGCCAAGACCATTCAGCCAGTTTGGTGGGAAGCTGTTGGTTAAATAGGGATGGTCGACGGAGGACCTAGGACAACCTCAGAAATTACAACGAACTCAACGTTTCTCAGTATCTCGCATGGGCTTAACAATTTTCCGCTGTTGTCACAAGTAAACTTTTTTGTTAACTGTATGGAATTTTATAACTAGGTTCATAAATATGAAATTTCTTGAATGCTGCAGATTCCTATGTCCTCAATAAATAATTTCCCAAACAACTTACCTCATGCCTTAGGCTGATGCGTATACTAAGGCCGTAAAGATCCCATCTGATGCCTGGCCGGGAATCCTTTCGTGGACCTTCTCTGGTGCTCTTCCGGACACAGAAAGGCATGCCTTCCCGCTGGCATCCGAACGTCAGTGGAAACAGTCCGAAAGAGTCGGAAATGCCTCTAATGCTGTCACTCCCCCGAGTTCCACCTTCGAGACGTTTCCGGCGCACATTCTTGTAGAACGTGCAGGTCGTCTGGTGCCTGACGAATTGTAAGTCACCTTGTACAGACTCACCTAAGGCACATCATGGCCCTTTTACATTATCCACCAAACATGTGTACTGATTTCATTTCAGTAGCAACTATTGTGTGTTCTAGATTGAAAGGACAGTCTGTTGACGAATTGCCCGAGCTGGAAACATTCGTCACTTTTATCGTCTCCGCTGGAGGGACTACCCTCAGCGAGGCAACAGCCGGAAAGCCAAATATCGACCCATCGCAAAGCGGTCGAGTCGCGGTTACCCATCTTGTCAAGGATGCTATATCGCCGGTGTGGGACTACCAACGTTACGGCTGTCTACCTCTCTCACTTCTCTCTGACTCTGCTGGGGTAAAATGTTGCAATTTAGCCGCACAATTTATGCTTTCTCATTTTTGCATAACATTGAAATTCTTTTGATAGCTCGTTTTTCAGGGGATTTAACGTAATATAAAAAAGAGTATATGGGTGCCCAATATGTGCACAGAAGAAGCCCCCTTTAGTTCCCCTATGCAATTTATGTGTGTATCGCAGCCTTTGGTGGACCAGAAGTCCCCGCCGGAATCCAAATTGGTTGTGGTTGGAAGACGAAGAAAAACCACGAACTCACCCGGCTTGAGCCAAAGGCCTACGGGGGTGGGCGGGATGTTTGGCCGGGAACTACAAGCGAAAACATGCTGACAGTCATGCGGAGAGACGGCCTAATGGGAACAGCTGTCGGTTTTGGATAAGTCGAGCCGATGTTGGCTCTGACGAAGGAGCATGAAGTAGCCATTGCGTAGTTGAGCCAAGGTATGGCACCAAACGCTGCTAGAGCTGCAACGTACCGAACAGTCGCCGCGGACTTGGCAGAGCGAGGAGTACCCAAAGAGGTCGAGGGTTGGCCTCAATCCCGGCAGCGAGGAGAAGGAGGAGGAGTCGGAGCAGAGTGGCTGGGAGGAACTGCTCCGTCAGCAAAAAGAAACACAAGTTGGAAAGAGGGGTGATTGACCCAAAGTAGGAAAATTGGCGTAGCAGACCTTGGCCGCCGTGAGGCGGGTGGGTACTTGCCGAAAACGCGTCTGCTGTGGCTCCAGATGCAATTTGTCGTTTGTGGTGGTTGTTTTATACAAATTTATTTAGTTTTGCTAAAGTTTTCATTAAATTGTCGGTGTTGACCCTGTGAAGGCGTGTCTCGGCGACGTAAATTCAGATCGCACCCTCACTTATTTTTGAAACTGCTGTGGTACTTTTTGTGATTAGACTCGCCTACGTCTGTACGGTTTACTGTGACGGGGGCCGCGATGCTCACGCGGCCTAAGGCGAAAAGATAACTTGCCAACAGGCGCTGACAAGCAGACAACCAATCAGCGTGCGCTGTTGGTTTGAACACGCGTGACGTCTTCTGCTCATGTGTGCCGTCCAAATATTCTAGGAAATCCGCGAGGGCGTTACAGCGTGGGAAAAGACCAATCAACGTGTGGCACGCGGTAGGCCAGAATGCTCCAGAACGCTCATCACGCGCCACTGGCAGAAGTGTTTGAGAACGACCGGAATCCCCATATGTAAGCAAGAGTTAACAAGCTGGAGTAAAATACG